AGTGCTTTGCAACTGATGGAGGAGGCAGAACACAGATAGCTTTGTTATAGCGGGACCTTTGCACGGATTCAAGACAGTCTCGGATCATTGTTTTAGGTATCTATAGATGCATCATTTTTTTGATATAGCAATTTTTTGGACACTCAAAGATGCGTCACATGTTATTATCCATTCACTCCATACACGGTGGGGATAAACTACAACCACATAGCCACAGCTGCCCTGGGGCACACTGACAGAAGCGAGGCAAGTAGTATGTGGCATCGACCCCTCTGATCACCACTAACCATTCATGCACATACTCATTCTAACACTCATTTTAGGCAGTGTGGGTGAAGTGTCTTGCCTAAGGATACAACAACAGTTTGGCACTTGACAGCCGCAGCCGCCCCACTGTGGTGCCTGGTGTTTCCTAAGGTCTCTCATCACAGTACTAACCAGGCCCTTCCCTGCATACGGTAGAATTCAGAGGTCTGATGGGGGTCTCACTTTCACATGCAGGTATGGCCACAAATTTGAACTGGGACAATGCTAATGGACATCTCACCAAAAGTGCCAGTTTTAACTAGAAAACAATGACAGGGACTACAGCTGATCAAATCATAAAACTGCAACAAAGAGACAAAGCATCGGCAGATTGATTTAATTTCTTCAGTTCATCTTCCAAAAAGCGGTCCTAATGCTACGTAAGCTTTCCAATTGATATATTTCAACATGTGAGATTCTATTTTAAATACAAAACAATACAATAATATGTTTCTGAAAGTTAAACAGAGCTTTTATGACCTTGAGACTTTAGTCAAGTTTTCAAATGAAATGCCCAGGATGTGAGAAGCCTGAGAGACACTGGGTTTATGGTCTGCCCAGTTGCCTAGAAACTCTCCATGACGTCGCTTCAGTGTCTACACGGTACATTAAGATAACGCTACTGTTACTCTATCCCCCATTCATAAAAACAACTCAATTTTACCCTGTTTACGCCTCTGATTAAGTCCGTGCGTCAGGCTTGTGATGCGTCTGTTCTGGAAATGACCGGGAACAACATGCATGTAATCACCATAAATGCCTGTGTGCTGATGAGTTAAAAAAGGTTTTGACCATGGTTTTGATCATCTTAAACTTGAAGTAAATATTTGTTATTGAAGCCTTTCACAACAGCCAAAAGCACAGAATCAAAAAGGTGTGCCTGGATTAAAAACTGAAGGTAAAATGTTAAATTAAATCTTAAATTCAATACAAATAAAATAAAATCCACCCAGTTTTTGTAGAGGTACAGACAGATGCTCATGCTTGTGCTTGTTTGTTTTATATGGATATAAAATCACAGCATCACTGAGCTGTACAGTACATCTGTAAGTGATGTTTGTGTGTGGAGAGTGAGCACAGCAGCAGGTAAATGTTTGATGAGGCAATGAAGCTTTGAATAAATGGAACAAAAACAGGTTGAGTTCCCTCGTCCCGCGTGAGTCAAGGCAAACAATAGGTCTGAGCCATGAAGCGGACATTGTAGAAGACACACAAAAATAAGGTAAACAGGAGCTTAAAAATATGTCAAATCAACTAAAAATAAATACATCATTATATATATATATATATATGTATTTATTTTAATTATATTTTTTTCAGATAAGGATCAGTAAGGAGCTGTGTGTTCAGAGTGTGTGTATAAAGAACTGTGTATGTTGTCCATGCGCAGGTAAATAGAATTGTATGTTCATGTATGTTACAGTGTATACTCCGAAAGGGTACTTATCCTTGAACCAAGTGCAATTATGCCAATATGAATTTTATTTTATTATCCATTACCTTAACTAATAGATCCTGTTTGATTTGAGAAACATGAATACATTGAAATTTCCCCTTCGAGGGATGAATAGAGGTTTAACTTATCCTACGGTTCTAACCTGTCTTCTTCAGGGAGACAATGTGACACCTCTCCCGGGACAGTGGATGATTATTCATTAATATACACAGTTCCCATGAAATAAATACATTAATAAAACACAGTATTCAGAAATCAGACAAAAGTTTTGGCAATTGCAGTATTTTAACCTATTAAGAGACAATGGATTTCTTCATTTTAACCCTGATACAATCTTGAACACAATTTTCATATTCAATGACCCTGACAAAATGTTTCGGTAAACGGCCTTCACCTCAAGTATTTTCTTACTAAATGTATATGTATTTTATTTTAAGCAGGACATTTTGAGCACATCACAAAAAGAAAGAAAAGGATTTGAAGAAACAATGAGTAAATGAAGAGGCCAAATGTTGATGCAGCCTTAAGTCTCGTTGATACGTAAGCAATATAGACAAAAGTCATAACCCACTATAAGCAGGCATTCTCATAGTCATCCCTCATCAAACCAAACAGCCAAATTGGCTGTTATCCCCAACAGTAGCGCTAAAGGCCATTATAACGTACACAAATGGGCCTGTGTTTTCACTGTGACATGCTCCTCTAATTTGTTCTTGTCAATAACACAGTAGAAAAGACGGTCTCTAATCCAATTACTGCATCACTGCTGCTGTAGAAAGACTTGTCCCCAGAGTCTGTGAAATGAGTGGGTTTTCTCAATGCACCATCTTCCTGTTGCCACACCTAATTTATTTCACCATAGCCATTTTTCACTGAAACCACAGGCACCACTACCATGTATTTTTCTTATTAGAGAACGATCAAAATGAAATATCCGGTGGACCTAAGATAAATAGTGAGCTTTGAGTGTGTAATGATGCTGTAAAACACGGCCAAGAGACCATTAAAAAGCGCAGCAGGCCACATAACAGACAAAGCGCCTCTATAATCTCCGGTAATCTTTGGTTTGCACCGACCGGAACATCTTCAGCCCCCTGCAGCTGCACCATGTGACCTGCCACCCTGGGATTTTTTTATGTAAATATAGTGTGTAATGACATACTATTGAGACAGTTGCACATTACAGCCTTCTATCCAAATAGAGGTCACTGCTGCCACTGCGCCCAAAAGGAGCCGTGGCCACCGCTGCGGTTCAGGGCACTGTTTCACCTCAAGTAAAATGACAGACGAGGATTCATCTTCACAATTTGAGCCGGGTTCGCAGGGTTGTGAGAGAGTCTTGTGGGACAATTCACAACGGTTGTTTTTCTGATTAGTAAAAGTGATGTTTTGTCCCAATTGGAATGAGAAATCATCGTGTCTATCAAATGTAGTTGATGTCTGCTTCAGTTGTTATTAATTTGAAGAAGATACATCTTTTTGATATGACCCTGTAGTTTCATCTATGTTAAGTATATTGTGCATAAAAAATATATTCAAAACCGTCCCTCCCCTTGGACAAAGCATCAGCAGTAAGACTTGCTGGAGAATAGTCAGACCGATGGAGAGGGTCCTCAGCTGTCTATCAAGGATTTGAATAATTGCGTCCAATCAGGGAGCTGTGGAGGCGGGTCTAACTGGCGCTTGCATTCTCCTTGTTCATCATTTGAAAAGTGGTATACCTCCACTTTAACTGATTTGGGGTTGAAGATGAGGCAAATAATCGTCCCATGGATTGGATTGTTTCCGACCAGACTGATGGTGTTGACGCTTCAAAACAGCCTCAATGCGTCACAAAGCTCCATAAAATCATCACGACAAATTACTTATTATTTTTGACTTATTATTGTTGTACCTCCTTTCATTGTTGTGTTATTCCAAAATTCTGCTCTGTGTCTGGATAATCTTTAAAACCTTCAACATCAAAATTGTAATGATTTGTCCATGTTGACTTATTATCTGGGGAGAAATTACATCAGTTAGAGAGCAGGCTTTGACCCTCTAAAATCTGGGAACAATAGAATATTTGAATAGCCCATAATCACTGTCAACCAAAACATGTTGGATCTTTATGTCAAACATAGAAATCCAATTTGTTGTTTTTTTTTACCAACAAAATCAGTCCATCAGTTTAGCCAATCAGCATCAATCTTTGTCTGGCACATGTTGATTGCCGGTATTATGTTGGCATTTAAGAAAAGTATCTGGCAGAATACAGCTCAGAGGGACATCAAGTGGAAGTTGTATGATATAGTTTATTGTATGAAAATCCAACTGTCATGTAACACAAGATCTAATGTAGAGCACGAGCCAAAGTGCACAGAATGTTTTAAGACCTCAGGTACCCAAAGGCAACACAAAATGCCTAACTTTTATTAGTTGCACTTTGAAGTCATTCTCACCTTTCTCTTAAATACGGCCCTATGGTTTCTAAAATAAATGGAAAAACTAAAAGCAGCTCGAGGCATTATAGGCATCTGGTTCATCTTACATTTTCACAGTCGAGGCCTCGTTTAATGAGATGATTATTTTTGGCCCTTTGGCATACAGTAGTAAAAGGGCAAGCGCAGCCGTCAATACAGTAGCACTGAAGAGCTGTAAAACCTGCATCCTCAAAGTGTGCATTCAACAGTGAAGAAGGAAAGGAGAATCGTCAACCTCCATGTATTCAGTGGAAGATTCATATCAGATTGGTATATTGTCAAGTCTATTGTAAGCTATGTATATATTCTATCTATCCTGAATCATAGGTTTATATGGTTAGTGACCAATGAAACACAATCCGGATGTGGCGACGTATATTTATTAAAAACCATGTAACATACCAGAAAAAGTCAAACTATTTTACTTTATGTCAAAATGAAAATGTATTATTGTAAAGTAACAGGACACACAGGAAGACAGACATAAAATCAAGTTTTACCATTTCCAAACTTAAGTGTTATCTTGTGTGCGATACCCAACCAAAGCCTAGGGGCATTACCAGTTCATACCAGTTCATACCAGTTCCTACCAGTTCATACCAGTTCATACCAGTTCATACCAGTTCACACCAGTTCACTGCTCCTTCGTTGCTGGTGTCATTCTTCTGTAAACACGACGCTCATCTGGTTCAGGCTTCCCCATTGACTGTTCATTAAAATGTCTTTATTCCGTCCTCTGATTGGGTAAATAAAGTGGAAAGAGGAAAATGTGGAGTTCAAGGTGAACAGGTGTCTGAAAAACAGAAGTAGTTTGATGCATTATATCCTTAAAGCAAAAATAGTAGAAAAGACAAAAGTAATGAACAATAGATATAATCAAATAAATGCTTCTAATTAATTGCAGCAAAGCAATATTTAGTTCAGTCTGACAGATCCAGTTAAAAATAACTGGTATTCTATGTATTTTCTAATGCTTTTTAACTGTTTTTTGTTTTAATGCATAAATGTTTTAATGGATTTAATGTAATTTTATTGTGAAGCACTTTGGTCGCCTTGAGTGTTGTAAAGGGCTCTAGTATAAATAAAATTGATTGATATCACAAGTGTGATTCAAGTGTGAATGAGCGTGTGTTTGTGAGTGTGACTGTGGGACTACAGATGGAAACTAGCAACAAATAAAGCTACAATCTGGTGTATTTACAGTTACTGCTGTTCATTAATACACCGTCTGATCCAAATAAACCAATAAACAAGATTTTGGAGGTCAATAGTGTTCAGCACGGCATAAATCCGGGTAAAATGGTTACATACACTACCGTTCAAAAGTTTGGGGTCACATTGAAATGTCCTTATTTTTTAAGGAAAAGCACTGTAGATAACTTTAAACTAGTCTTAACTGTAAAGAAATACACTCTGTACATTGCTTATGTGGTAAATGACTATTCTAGCTGTCTGGTTTTTGGTGCAATGTTGTAATTGCTGCAAATGGAGGATTCTTTGACGAAAGCAAAGTTGGATGTAAAACAAATCTTATTTCAAACACAAATCATTATTTCTAACCTTGTCAATGTATTGACTCTATTTTCTATTCATTTCACAACGTATGGTGGTGAATAAGTGTGACTTTTCATGGAAAACACTTGGGTGACCCCAAACGGCAGTGTATATATAGAGAATAAACATCTGTTACATTGCAGGAAATCAAAAAGGAAACCACTAAAATACCATATTTGAGTTAGTGGCAACGATAAGGTAAGATAATAAGTTTATACAGTGCATGGTGAAATGATGCTCCTGTTCTACATCCTGGTAACACTAAAGGCATTTAAAGCAGAGCTCTGGGTGGTCTGATTACAAGTTGCTGTCACTAAATACAGGTGTTATGAAGTCAAACCAGATGCTGTTAGTTTAAACCACAGAGAGTAACATAGTTTTGTAGAGAAGAAGGCATATGCATCCCTCACCACAGGCAATTGTTTTTGTACCATGGTTAGTTAGAGAATTTACTTTCAATAATAATAATTTCTTGGGATATTCCAAAAGTATGGACAATGTAGCCTACAAGCATAAGCTTTTGAGGAACAAAAAAAGCCTGAATTCCAAAAATGATTGAATTCCCTTTTCTATAATCTACTTGCAAAGTCAGTGTGTGTATTTTTTATTATATATATATATTAAAATTAGTGCGGTCAGTTAAACTTGATAATATTTTGGGCCATGGTAGAAGGTTACCACAGGGACGTATCTGAAAAAATGGCCCGCTGTACGAGGATTTCAGCTTCATAAGACGCGTGCACTGTGTAGGGGACGTAAAGTACACCGATGGATCTATAATAATAACTGGATAGGGTATTACTAGCTTATAGCTATCCCACCCATGGGCACAGGGGGCGCTCATGGTACTGCAGACTAAATTTACGAGTGCTACCCAGAAAAAAGTCCCATAGAACTCAATGTATTGTATATTTAAACAGCACGACCTCAGCTGACGAGAGCCTACAGCTTTCATAAAGATCGAATTTTGTGGGGATTTTAGTGTCCCTTGTCATCCTGAACTTTTTTTCTTCTTAAATCCTTCGGTTTTCTTTAAATCCAGACTTTACTGCCACAAACTCTGCTCCCTGCCTACTCGCTCTGGCTCCGCTGCTCTGATGAGCAGTTCTGATGAGCAGTTCTGATGAGCAGCTCTGATGAGCAGCTCTGATGAGCAGCTCTGAGTGGTCAGAGCGCGGCCGAGCCCCTCTGTGCACGCGCATGAAATAACACACGCACGTTGCGCTAATCCACTGCGCAGAAGCGGGTGGACCAGACGATGCCCAAATATAGGCGAGTTCAGATAATCTCCCGGTCTCCATGAAGTCCCATGCGCTACTAAGCATAAGCCATTCATTTGAATAGGGCGCCATCTTGGATCACCGCGGCTTGAGTACACCAGGCGTTGCAAAAACAAAAGCAGTCGCACTCACTGGTGATTATTGGACGTCAGAAATCACAACAATCTTCAGGACACTGCCCAAACAATGAAGCTACAGTTCTTTTCACTGCGTGTGACAGTGATATATACAGGTACTCTGCAAAAAAATATCTAACTGACTTAAATAAATAAAAAAATAAAATAAGAGTAGCCTGTATTAGACATGTTATTGCTAATATATTAAATAGTTTAGAAATATCCAGAAATAGCCTATATTAGACAATCCAAATGCTTTCAATGTAGAGAGGATTGGATTAATATAAGCTTGTTGTGTCATCCAATCACTTTTCAAATCAAATCAAGGGACTTGTAGAGCCGGGTAAATATGTGATTAATTGCGATTATCTGCGAGTTAACTGTGACATTAATGTGATCAAATATTTGTATTGTTTGACAGCCATAGAAATATGTACAGTATATAGAAATGACTGTAAAGCGTCCTCTTACCGGTCAGTAGTTGATCATCTTCTTGATGGCCTCTAAGCACTTCCACTTGTCTGGGATGTAGAAAGGCTCAAAGATGTGAGGAAAGGGAGTGTCATAACCACACACTCTGCTGATGGGAGCCTCTAGGTTCAAAAAGCACTCTTCCTGTAACAAAATTCAGCATCTTCTCTTTAGTTTGTTCTTGATATTAATTTATTGCATACTTAGTCATTTTAGGTAACTTATTTTAACAACTTATATGAAAAAAGTACAGAGGACATTCATGTACGCATCAATGTAGCATCAATGCTAATTTTCAACTCCTGTCCCTGGTTGAGGGAAAAGCTCAACCAGGGACAGGAGTTGAAAATTAGCATTAGCTATACACTCTGTATGTGTCGCATCAGCTGCATTTTCATAATGTAACTATGTATGACTACATTGTCCCTGTCAAATAAATGAATAAATAAAAAATAACAGTAAACAATAAACAGGTGTTTGACGTAAACAAAGTATCACTGTATAATGAGAATACAGATGTTGAGTTGAAAAGGTCAGACCTTGTCTATGCAAAAATGAATATGAAAGAGAAAACAACCAAACTGTTTATGTACCCAGCAGGGGTAATCCAGAGCTCAAAACACAGACTGACCAAAGCAACTTCAAATTCAAATTTACTCCTACTCTTACTGAGGGACAGATAGAGGAAAATATTGTGAGAGAAAATTGCAGATAACATTTATTTATTTATAAACTTTTGGACTCAATGACATTGTCAGATGTTTTTTCTTTCAGACCAGACTCTGCCACTTGAGAGTGCAATGCCTTATTTGAACTTATGAAAGTAAATAGTTTGAATATACTTCCCTGCAACAGTTATAAAGTTAAAGCTACACCTTATTAAGATAAGATTTAAAGCAAAAAAATAAACTGAAAATATTTTACCATTACATTTACGGAAAACCTTTGAGTACTTTGAAAAGGCCTATTGTAAGATTTCTGATGGATCCAAGATGCTTGAGGTCCAGTACACTTCCATTGTCTGTGATGTAGTACCAAAAATCATCAAATGACTGTGCTCGGGCCAGCAGATCCACTGGTCATTCCAAACCGAGTACAAGGTTGATATCATGCCATATTTTAATTCTAATCTTTACAAGCTGCAAGTCATAATAATCCAAATTCAAACAAGCACATGATTGATGGAGTCCATTTGCATTCCATTAGTCTATATCACGTATTTACTGTTATAGAGAGCAAAGAGTGGCGAGGATGGACATTCACATCCTCCCATCTGAGAGACCAGAAGATCGTAAAGGACAGCCTCACACTGATCATGGATTGTTTATGTTGCAGCTGTCACTGTCCACTCAAAGCCAAATTGTAACTGTGAGGTCAGGTCAGTCTTGAAAAAAAAAAGACATTTTGGTAACGATTTCTACTAAGTTGACTTGAATGAATGCCTTAATACATCAGTGCCAGTGGTTTCTACCATAATATCATAAATCTACTGCAAAATGAATATGGAAGAGTCCTGATGTCAATTCCTCCCATCTGCCCGTCACTAAAACAAACAGCCAGAGAAAAGTATGTTTTGCCAGAAGTTTGACACACAGACATTTGACAACATAATGAGGATATGTGCATTTGCATAAAGTGGCCTTGATGACCCAAACTCCACGATTGTGTAAATGACTCCTTTCTCTTGAACTCATTCTTTGGAGGTGACTACATGATCTGCTTCACAGAGATTACTGCCCCTGTGTCTATTCTGCCTCTTTGCCACAGACATCCGGTCAGACAGCACTGGGCAATGTGCTCTTTTGTCTGGTTCAAATCTGTAATCTCCTTTTTATACATTTACTGGAAATGGCAGAAAAGTACAGTAGTTCAGTTGTCTGCTACCAAAATCAGACCGGGAAAAGGCCACACAACTCAGATTACCTTCAAATCAATGTTTATCTTCTGGGAACAGCATCATTATGCAACAGACGGAATGGGAGAATGGACATATGTTTGGCAATGGGTGAACACAGACATGCACCAAAAATAATGCAAACTATCAGATATGGGTTTATATGATGTAGAGAAGACACTTAGAAACCTATGTTCAGACTTCCCAAGGCAGTGGGTAGAGCTCCTTGTAAAACTCAACATACAGTACACAGAGCAGTAAAGCACTAACCATGTTAAACATGGCACGATGCAAAGACGTAAATCATCCAAGTCTAAATTGCCTTGCCTCCTAAAATGTGTCATGTGGTGAACTGGAGACAACCTGCATTTCCCTGGAGTTATTTCATCATTATAACAACACCATGCGGTGTCTTTAACTCACAGGCAATTTAAAACTGAGGACAAACCTGATAGTGAGTTGGAACTTGATATAGTTTATTTCTTATATATAACTTAAACAAATTATAATATAAATAAATACATATATACATACACATACACTGTACATAGACACAATATTATTACACTTAGCTGCACCTTACAATAAAGGAACAGATGAATATTTTGGAAAATAGAATGAAACATGAACAAAAGAAAACAATTTAGTTAGTATTGATCATCCTTAAATAACTGCTCACCTGCACAGTAGAGCTGATTTCAGCAGCAAACCCTCCAGTGAGCGGCGCCTCGTGACTGATGAGCAAGCGGCCCGTCTTTGCCACAGACTGAAAAATATCAAAGAACACTGGTAAACTGAACGCTGCAAAGAAGTGGCAGGAGATGTGTGATCTGCAGGACAAGGACAGGAGTAACAGGACACTTCATGACGCTCTCTAGACCCAGAATCTGTGGTTAAAGCAGGCTATGGCCACGTATGCACAGTGTCCATAGTACATTGATAGGGTCACAAATTGGCCGCATTTCCCACACTTGAAAACGTTACTGTGCATTTCAATGAAGAAGTCTCTATATAGTATCGCGGAGCAGGGACAACGTGGATTCGCCCTCATCCAAAAGAGTTACAAAGTCAGTTAATAAAAAAGGACACTCCTGTAATGCAAGATGAATTCTCGCAAGAATGTGATTCTGTGACACTCTGTTCCCATCGTTTGAGTTAAAGTCCAAAGTCAAACAGCTCCACAAACACGCCTCATCACATAACCTGCCCTCTTGGCAGAAGTAATAGCAGTCAATGTATATTATGACAAAAGGTTTATGAATGTGAAAGTTATTGACAAGAATTCAAGACAATAGCTAATGTCAGAGATAGTCGCACCAGGCAACAGTGAGTCCAAGAGGGGCGAGGTCTCAGTATGACATGCTGCCGTTAGTGGGACGAGTCATCCTGGGCCAGAGAATTAAGAGCCCATACCTCATCCCCTCTGATATCTTAATACAATGTCTAACACTAGAATGTGTACCAGTGTCATGACATTTTCCCTGTGCTCCTGTCTCTCTGATGAGGACAAGAGGGCACCAAACACTCACAACATGGTGAGCACATTCCTCAGATGCTTTGGCATAACATAAGCTGCCACTGTCATTACACTATTCTATGTTGCTAAAATTAGAGAATTCAGCAGTAAAAGGGAACATGATCTCCATTCAAGCGGTATTGACAGAATGACATGCTTTTTTTCAGTGGGGACTGGGACGATAGTAAGAATAGTTGGGAAAATGGATAGAGCCAAATACAGTGACATTCTGCTAGAGTCCGGCGTTAGGCACCAACACTAACAAAACTACTGTCTCTGGGGAAAAGTAAAGTAACGTGTTAACTATTGTCAATAGAGTGATGTTTCTTTTTCAATCCGCCACAACGCGTGAACTTTGGGTGAAAAAAAAAAAAAAAATCTTGATGTTTATGGTTGTAAACATGACAAACTGCAAAAGTCTAAGTTGTATTAATACTTTTGCAAGGCACTGTAAATGGAGCTCTGCAGTGGACGAAAGATTTTGTCAATCACATCCACTCCTCAGAGCACATGGAGTACAGCTATGATTTATGATCCAGACTGTACCCATCTTTCATTTACAGCAAAATGGTTGCAGACAGGTATTTGTTGGACAAATTCTGGATTTCAGTAAAAAAAAAATCAGAAATAAGCGCACTTTCTTGAAACACTTTCCCACAAACTGTACACTATATCAATATCAGCTCCACAAATCATTGGGTCTGCTCTGTGGAGCCACTGCAGGTCAATGGTCTTTAAAGGACAACTCACCCTCAAATCCACTTTTTTTTTGCTGATAAACGGTATAAATGAGTGTCCAATAGTGTTGTCTACATATCCTGGTCATAATTTTGTCACTTTGGTACAAATGAGTTGAAAGTTAAAATTTCTGCCTAAAACCGTCTGTGAGGCGCCATCTGCTGGCGACCTGTATTACTACATTTGGCGCCAACACTGGCGTGCCAGCAAGACCTGACGTCTGAAGCAAGACCTGACGTCAGCAGCCCCCCGCCCAGAGCAATGTAAACGGCCCAGTCTCGTTCACGCCCCCTTTAGTCCTCCAGGCTACGCCCATTTAGAGGAAGATTTTAACAGGAAATGTGAGTGACGTAAGCTCCGAGGAGCGGGGGTGAGAACCACTTTAAAATACAAGATATGTGTCATAAATATACTCCTTATGCTAGAAATGGAATTACTCAATGATTTTACAGCAAAGACAGCAAAGACCATCAGCCTTCACATATAGTTTTGGATCTGCTGCACTGACAATGCAAACTCAGGTACCTCGGTCATTATAATATAATTTGCTCTGGTTTTGTACACAGTGCATTGCAGCCACCTTCTTTTAATCTGCCTTGAAACGCAGTTCTAAGAAAACGGGTCCACAACGTGGGTCTCTCCAGTGTGAAAATGGCTTGAGTGACTGGAAGTGACTCAAAAGAATCTCGAAATTTCCAGCACCCGTCTGCAGAATGTGGTAGCTACAGCCAGGAAGAATGGAAGATATGCCAGAGATGTGCACAGGCTGAGGGTGTGTAGAGATGAGAAAGAAGCACACCTCAATTATGTTACATATGATATGACAATTGTGTAAACATTTGTAATATTTCAATCCATGTCTCCATGATTTTAAGTGTAACCTACTTCAAGTGTTATAATAATACAATATAATAAAAAAATAATACAATGATTTAAAGTTACAAATGACTTACTACTAGCTGCTGATAATGGACAAGTGTCAGTGCTGGTCCTACTGGACCTCAGCGCTGCATTTGACACAATAGACCACAGCATTCTACTGCGGAGGCTAGAATGCGTTATAGGTCTCAGAGGAACAGCCCTTGGCTGGTTTAAATCCTATTTATCGATTGGTATCACTTTGTCAATGTGAATCAGAACTCGTCACCTTACTCTAGAGTGGAATTTGGTGTGCCCCAGTTTTTTTGACGATATAAACCAAGTACCTATAATGGCATATTTCCACTTGCGGAACATCGCTAAAATCAGGAATATTATTCCTAAAAGTGACGCAGAAGCAGAAAAACGAATCCAGCCTTTGTCACCTCAAGATTTGAATACTTTAACTCTTTGCTGGCAGCGTGCCCTAAAACCTCTTTGAAGAGCTTCCAGCTTGTTCAAAATACAGCAGCAGGAGATCTTAACGGGCACCCAAAGGAGGGAGCACATAACTCCGGTGTTAAAATCACTCCACTGGCTTCCTGTGGAGTACAGAATAAAGTTTAAAATTCTTGTCTTGGCATACAAAGCCATAAATGGCTTGGCTCCCTCTTATCTTCAAGACATGTTAATGTCTTATCAACCAAGCCGTGCACTGCGCCCCGCAAAACGCCAGACGTCTGATGGTTTCAATAAGCACTGTCGGCGGCAGAGCATTTAGCTACCAAGCTCCTTTACTGTGGAATCAGCTCCCCACGCACGTTAAGGAAGCAGACATTGTCTCTACATTTAAGGCCAGGCTTAAAAAACTCTTTTTCAACTTAGCATTTGGTTAGGTTGTTTGTCCGGTCAGGTTTCGTCCGGTCTTGGAGTCTGCGTATATGGGACCCGGTCTGCTGCATCTTCAACCCTACGTTCTAGGCTAAGCTAAAACATTCCTCTTTAGTTAGCATATGGCTAGGAAGGTAAGACTCAGGGAAGGCTAAACTCCTTAGATTGTCAGTCAAGCTGCATAGGGAGTCAGTTTGCTGGGAGAAGTATGGTAACTTGAGCACTATCCTCTCCTTCTTACTACATTATCTGTTTAGCCTTATTAGGATTTTGACTGTAGCCTGTTCATTGCCATTCACCCGTTGTCCCATTGTCTGTTTCATGGTACGATGACGGGACCTCTGAACCTGGCCTCCTCTATCTACACCTGAGGACTGCCCTGCCCGACCCGCCTGGGAGTTCCTCATTCCTGTACCGGACCTGTCCACGTTCATCGGCCACTGGTCCACGTTCTGTAGCTTAGGTCCTGGCTCTATAGCCCGTACGTCCGGGAGGAGCGGATCCCTTTCTCAACTTGTTGGACTCTAAGGTTTCTCACTTTATTCCCCACTGTTTTTTTTGTTTTGTTTTTCCTTGCCGATGCGGGAGGGTCTGTGTGACAGTTAGTGTCCAACAAAAAGGATGTGATGATGATCCAGGACACTAACATTCTACAACATGTATGGAGATTTTTTGACATGTGTTCTATATTCTTTATGTGTTTTAACTGTTGATTCTCTGATCTGTGTTGGTGATTTCAATGGTTTTGTTAAAGTGATAGTCTGTAACTCTAAATGAATTACAAATTTTAGGAAATGTGTTAAATTGACCTCCTGGCCTTAAATGTTGATATAAAATAAGTCATTTTATTAATTCTAATATTACGGGTAAGTCCCGCCTTCCCTTCTCTTAGCTATAGCTCAGAATCCACGGTGCGTCCACGTTAACCAATCGAGTCATGCGAAGGGCTGTCAATCACCGGCGCTGATGCTCGTAGCTGCGCGCATGCTCAGTTGTTTGTTTTCGCAGAACCTCCGAATCAAGCCTCTATTAGGCTCTGGAACTACATGAAAACTGAACAAAGAATTCTGAACATCCGCGCTGAGGTACTTATGTATATACTGAACCTATATCCATCATCATTTATATACTGAACCTATATCCATAATCAGATCTTCTGCAGATGTGTCCTATAATGTGCAGTTCATGATAATAGCTTGTTCCGGGTTTGCCGCGATCACTTTTTTTGCATAAAAACAGATTTTTTTTAATTAAAACGTTAACAAGTAATTCTGAAAACTGAGGGCCGATAGAAATAAACCAATGGGATGCATTCACCCCCCCTTGAACCATCCTGCTTTTTGTCAGTACGTGCACCTGTCTGAGTTGTTATAGAGTCGGATTTTCTAAAACACCTACAATGATGCAAGATGGCGCCTGTGCTCGGCCAGGCCTCTGCTCGACTCCTATGTCGGCTATGATTGATTGTTTTCGCAATTTATGTGGTCATATCAGCCTGTTTATCCATTGGATTTGTCTCTGCTGTCCGGAGCTATGATCGTGGCTCTCTTTTTCACATAAAGGAGTCTATGGAGTCCCTTTTTAGTGACTGGGGCAAGTACAAACAATCTTTTCCTCCCCCGTTTGTTTGCCGGCGGGACTCACCTGAGTTCTTGTTGCTGTCTCGAGCTCCTGGCAAAAAGAGGAGGCAGAGGAAACGTGGCTGTCGGTCTGGCGTCCAAGTTAGACGCAGACGGGCTCCACGGTTAAGAATCCCCACCCTG